CCTCACGACTTCCTTCCTCGGGTCGTCGGCCGTCGCTTTCCTCTCCCCCCCTCCCCTCGCTCCAGACTCCCCGCCGTCCTGCGCCTCGTGCGTCGGGGGGGGGGGGTGCGAGCTTCGTCCCGGGGCTCAGCCACCGGCCAGGTCCTCTCCTCCTTGGACCGGAGTGTGGAAGCCTTGTAAACGCTTCAAGTAAAACCGTCTACTGGCCCTTTCCGAACCCTGGGAGGACACCGCCCCTAAACCCATGCAGAGCCTCTTAGGAGCAGCTCCTTACTTTCAATCACAGCACTCAGGCAGGTGAGGAATTGCTGACCGAAGCAGGGTTGTGAGAGGGTTGATTTTGCTGACTTCAGAGTAAATCATTCTGGAAAGCACTCATTTGGCGCGACTTGATCAAGGGCTTTTTCTGTGCCAGGCACTTTTGTGGGGGCCGGGCACCCAGCAGGGAACGACCCAAGCCCCTGCTGCCTGGGGCTTCTAGTGGAGAGTTGGACAGGCACGAAGCCATCACCAGGGACCTCCAACGGGATGGGGACTGAGAAGGGATAGTGACCACCCAAGAGCGGACCTGATGGGCAGCCATCCAGCAGAGACTGGAGTAGGGAATGAAAATGATAGAATAAGGGAAGCCAGCCGAGTAGATAGGTGTTCTGCCTCTGAGATGTGCTGTACGTGATAATAATGGCTTTTAAAAAAAATACATAGTCCAACTGTTTTGGGGGGGAGAGGGAGGTAATTAAGTTTGTTTATATATTTATTTTAATGGAGGTACTGGGGATTGAACCCAGGACTTCATGCATGCTAAGCATGTGCTCTACCACTGAGCTACACCTTCCCCCAATAACGGCTTTTAAAATGATGATGAAATAGTGTGGTTATACTTTGTTGAAAAATTCGTCGATCTTTATCATTTCACCTCTTCATCTGTCTGCAGAGGGAAATGAAAAGGCTGAAATTTGGTATCTCTGAGGTGCCCTATGGAAACACTTTTTTCCTCTTTCATCCAAAGAGGCTTCTGTATGCCACTGTGCAGCCACAAAGTATACTCCACAGCAAAGAAGGAGATCTTTTTTTCTTCCTTCTTTATCTTTTTTTTTAACAAAGTTTATTCTAGAAAAAGCAACTCATTGCGACATAAAACTGTTGTAAAATTTACATATATGTACTGTTCATTGTTCCTAAGAACAGTTTAGAGCTTTAGCCTTTTAAAATTGCATAGTTAACAAAGGAATAAAGCCAACCACAAAATAAGAACAGAATGCAGTAATCCAATCATAAAGGACAGTCAAATGTGCTTATACATACTCAAGAAATCAGTCATCTAAGTTATAAATAATTAGTT